ATTTAACAACATTCTAATAAAAACATTAATTAACATAGGAATAAAGTGAAGCTACCTAAACAAGATGAAATCTGTTTACCAAAACAAAATTATATTCTTAATCATGATGGAATAAGAGAGACTAGATTTACCTTCCTTGCTTGCAGAACTAAAAGTTGGACAAAATATATGAAGTGAAAGTTTTCAGACATTGAACAACAAGCAGTGCAAGACAGTGATCCCTGAGAGATAAACAAGCGAGATGAGCCCTGCAAATACTCCCAGCTCACTGCCTGGAGAATTTCCATGTTGACCGCACAAAAAAGAAACCAAAACACAGTCCAACAGTCTCACTGATTAAGGAGACAAAGTTCGGAGTTCCAGCAGGGCAAAGTGAGGAAACTTTGTGAGGCAAAGTATCAAAGAAAAAGAACTACAGAGAGTGAGGGTTCCAGAGATCTGCAGAGCAGTCCCTCAAGACTTCGGCTGAGTACTACTATGTACTTGTATAAGGAGACTACTGAGGCTGGGGAAAGAACGGCAGAGAGGAGTAGGCAGAACAATTTCAGGAGTTCACATAGGACCAGAAATAGTGTTTGCCCCAGCCAGTTTGGGAAGATCTCCTCATACAGTGGGGCATTGGGTACAGTTCTCAAAAGCATATTGCCTCAGTAGGGCCAAATTAGCCCTCGGTGTAAAAGTAAAGTATCTAAAGGCATGTTTAGAAATCCAGACCCAATAACATAAAGTGTACAATGTCTGGCATTCAATAAAACGTTACCAGGTATGTAAATAAGCAGGAACATATGACCCAGTACCAGAAAAAAAATCATCCTACAGACATCGACCCACATATGACTCAGATGTTAGAATTTGTAGGCAAGGATTATAAAGTCACTCCATATGTTCAAAAGGAACAAGAAAGCATGAATATAGTCAGGAGGAGAATGGAATGCCTAACCAAACTTCTAGAAATGAAAAATACAACAACTAAACTGAAAAAATACACTGGGAGAATTAACAGCAGATTAAATGCTATAGGAGAAAAGATTTGTGAACTTGATGATACAGCAATAGGAACTATCCAAAATAAAACACTGGGAGGAAAAAAAGCCAGAAGAAAACTAAACAAAGCATCAGTAAGTTGTGGGTCAGTATCAAGTAGCCTATCGCACACATAACTGCAGTATCCAGAAGAGGGGAGGAAAATAATACCTGAAAAAAAATTGCCATTTTTTTTCCAAATTTAGTGAAAATAATTAACTCACATATATTAGTCAGGGTTCTATGAAGAAACAGAAGAAATAGTATATACATATTGTCTTTATATTAGTAATATACTATATATAATACATATAATATATTGCAAGTGTGAGCCACCATACCCAGTATATATATATTATATATGTAAATATGTATTTTACTAATATAAATATAAATATATTAGTAACACATAACTATATTTACATATATAAATATATTAGAGAGAGAAAGAGATAGTTATATGAAGAATTGGCTCACACAGTTATGGAGGCCAAGAAGTGCCATGATCTGCCATCTGCATGGCAGAGACCCAGCACTGTAATTCAGCCAGTGATTGAGTCTATCAGTTCAATCACTGATCCCATCCAGAAGCACTCTCACAGACACACCAAAAATTACGTTTAACCTGTGCAACCCATAGCCCAGTCAAGGTGACAAATAAAATTTACTGTCACAGTTTACCCTTTATCAACTTAGCACCCATACACATCTCCTCAAACCAAACTTATTCTCCAAATAAAAAAAATAGGTCATAATTCCACCTGCCTTAATACTATTCTGGATATAATAAAAAACACAGTAACTTCTTTCTCAGATGAGGAGGTAAAATCCTTGAGAGATGTTTACTCTTTGATATCCTATAACTTGATACTATGATGTAAAATTAACAATACTTGGCTGGGTGCGGTGGCTCACATCCACAATCCCAGAACTTTGGGAGGCCAAGGTGGACAGATGGCTTGAGCTCAGGAGTTCAAGACCAGCCTGGGCAACACGGTGAAACACCATCTCTACAAAAAAATATAAAAATTAACCAGACATGGTGGTGTGTGCCTGCAGTCCCAGCTACTTGGAAGGCTGAGGTGGGAGAATGGCTTGAGCCCAGGAGGCAGAGGTTGCAGTGAGCCAAGATCATGCCACTGTACTCCAGCCTGGAGGACAGAGCCAGACCCTGGCTCAAAAATAAATAATTAAATTAAATTAGCAATACTTAAATAGTATGGTATAAAATATAAATACACCTTATGTTGCATGATAAGGGAATAAGAGCAGAAGGATAAAGATATATACACATATCTGACATATCTGTTTATAGCAATATAAGGAGAAAATAGACATGGCAATTACCATCTTTGTTTCTGTCATTGGTCACATGGTCATGGCTGGTGTTTACCTTTTCCCACTACCCAGTCTGTATTCCCATTGCCTTCAGCAAAAACCTCAGCTTTATCTGGTAGGACAACCTCAACTTTTATTCCTGAAGGATCTGAGCCATTTGTAGCCCTGCTTGTTGTAGTTTTCTATTGACATAAAACACAGGGCACGGCAATACTAAAAGATACCCTAAGGAATCTCCTGTGTTCTGGATACACTTATTCTTCCTTAACTTCACTGTGGAATAGTAGTCCAATTTCCCCCTTGGTAGTCAGGACCAATCATCCCAGCCAACACTGTAACTCCTTCTTTACATCTTAATTGAGAAATATGAGGACCCCAAAGTGGCCAGGTGGAAGTCTTAACTTCCAGTTCTTGGGATCATTGTTATGTCTCCTGGTGGAAATATCCCTTCCCTAAGGAAATATCCTATCCTCTAGAACTAAGACCTCTAAAGTCAGGAACAGGATGCAAAAATTTTGCTTTGTGCATGTGGGCCCAAGCTGAAAGAAAAAGGGAGTTTCACAAATTTGCTGGATGCAGGGAGGGGAAGGTTGCTTTGTTAATCATGCCCTGTGGTGGTTGATTAACTACTTGTACAATTATGTTTCACTTTTAATAAATTTCTTAGAGTGCTCCTGCTGATGAAGGCACCTGAGATTAATAGTTATATCCGTGGCACAAATGAAGGGATGGTGGTTTTTAGTGGCAGTTATCTCCACTAGCAGGGCTGATTCTCAGAAAAGTCACAGCCATGTGGTCCCTCTGGGGCTTAGGAGTATCATCCTCAGGAGTAGGTGATGAGCAAATTCTGGAAAGTGGTCCCAGAAGTCATGCCTTGGCCACAAAGCAGGTCTCAGGTGCTTGGCATGCAGTCAGACTGCTGGCTGACACAATCTTGCCCAGGAAGATTGTGGGACACAGTCCATGGGCTGGTACTGGGGGAAGCCAGGGTAACGGGGTGCACACCCATCCTCCTGAAACAGGTCAGGGTCATTCATCTCATGGTCTAAGGTATTATCTGAACTCGTGGTCTCACAACCAAGAAAATTAAGGCACATGGACACAAAGAGTGAGGTTGGAGCAAAAATATAATAAGCGAAAGAAGAAAGCTCTCCACTGAGAAGAGGGGTCCCAGATGGTTGCTGGGTTACAGTTGAATTCAAAGCTTTTATAAGAAACTGCTCTTATCTCTGTAACTGTTTGAGTAACTTTTCTTATCTATAAAACTGTCTGCATAACTCTCCCTTACTTACGTAGCTGTGAGTATGTCTTGAGACAAGCACAAAATAAAGATTTTTGTTTTGTTAAGTGTGGGGTTTTTTTTTTAAGTAAGCCCCCTTCTTCCCTGTGCAAGTTCCCATGGAGCCCACCATGTACATGTCTGAAAAGGGGAGGAAACTTTTTCCTAGGAGCTCGCTAATCATACGTAAAACAAACAGCCTTCGTGCTGGACTTTGCCTGTCTTGCCCCTTCATCTGTGGATTATCTGTACAGCTGCAGTCTGAATTTTGTCCAGGCTGCTCTATTTTTGCCTGTAGCTGTGATTTTTCAGTCAGGCAGCTTCACAAGTTTTCAGACAGGCAGGTTCTCCAAGGACTAGTCTGTTAGTTGTTTACACAACTAATTTTTCCTTTCCTTCTTCCTCATCCCCCATATCAGGAGTGGAAACCCTAACTGCTGTTAGGAAGACTGGGTGTTAATCTTTCTGGCTACTTTACACTAAAGAGGGGCATTATGTAGGAAACAGCAGCTAGGATTCCTCCCAAGGCTGGTTTAAGGATCTTCAGAAGAAAGGGGCATTTATGTATGGCTCCATTTGCATTACCATTTGGAGGTTGATAGTCTCTAGGCAAAAAGAAACAATTTGGGTTATTAGAGGACATGTATTAAAATGAAACAAGGTGCTTAAGGACAGCCTAAAAAAATCCCAAGGCTGCTTACATGCCCTAATAACTGGTGGCTATAGTTATGCCTGTTAAGATTTGGGTGCATGGACTTGGCTTTGGTTAGCTTTCTTGGACTTACTTTTCCAAAAAGGAAACCTTTGGGTTATGGGTAATCTGTTTATTCTTATTACCTGGCAGGTTTTGTAGGATAATTGCCCAGAACTGGAACATTGTTCCAGATTTTTATATTACCCATCCCTTTCTGTCTCCTTTGAGCTGCAGCTAGAGATCACTCATTGGTTTACAGGAATAAGCAGGGTTGGTTTAAAATGTAGACAGGAACCTAAAAACAACTAATAAGACTAGAAATTAATGACAGTTGTATGATAAGTTTTTAAACATAATTTATCTCTCTCTAGTCCTCATTTCTGTTAAATACAGATTATGATAGGACTGAGTTGTTCTCAAAATAGACTTTAGTCTTATACATGGTCTGGTTTTTTGCATAAAGTACAACAAGAATAATTACTTTTACTTAGACCTGTCAGATTGGCTCTTACGGACTTCTGTTCCACAAGTAATCTCAGATAGGACTCTCTAAAGCAGAGCCCCACCATGGGTTTGTACTCTCTGAGTTGGGTAAACTCCTCTTTTCCTGAGATTCCAAGAATATGGGGTTCCTGGGCCTATTAGAACGTGATATTCTTTACTCACCACAGGTTAGGAACCCTGTACAGGGGCTGTGTGGACAAAGTATAAGGCCAGTTTCCCCAGGGCCTTTCATCAGCTCTGCAAGTCAAGCTTGACTCCTGAAAGAGAAACACACTCTTCCAGTCAAGGCCTAGGTAAAACAACCAGTTTTTCCAATTGTGTCCTGTTACAAAAGAAAATGGATTCTTGTTGCACTGATGCAAACAACTATATTGATATAAGTCAATACTCACAACCAGTTTCTGAATGATAGAGGAACCAGGCAGAGAGAAGCAAGCATGTTTCAGAATTTGCTCAGAGAAGTATAATTTGCTCAATTATTAAAGGCCATAAATAACTTGAAATAAGTTTTCTTGACCCTGAAAAACAAAACAAGGATCAGCAATGTTCCAAGGGTAAGTCAAAAATATCATATCAGCTCTGTACTAGTTCAGTCCATTTAGTTAACTCTTGTTCTGCTTGACACTTATAAACATTTTAGCTTTCCATTAATCCTATACATTTTCTGTTATGAGAAATTTGCATTTGAGAGCACCTGTTAAAGCCCCACATCTGATTATGAATCTGATTATAAATCTTTTGAAAAGGATAAAACAAGACAACAATTGTCTGCAAATGACAAAATATTCATGATGGTTACAGTCAAGAACATGATTGACAAAGAAATTTGATTGTTTGTGGTTTACAATAACTTAACATAACAATCTTAATTGTAATTGATAGCATATACTCAGACATTACAACCTTATGACCAGACACAGTAGCTCACACCTGTAATTCCAGCACTTTGGGAGGGCAAATCAGAAGGATCACAAAGTCAGGAGTTTGAGACCAGCCTGACCAACATAGCGAAACCCCATCTCTACTAAAAATACAAAAATTAGCTGGGTGTGGTGGCATGCACCTATACTCCCAGCCACTCAGGAGGCTGAGGCAGGAGAACTGCTTGACTCCAGGAGGTTGAGGTTGCAGTGAGCCAAGATCATGCCACTGCACTCCAGCCTGGGCAACAGAGTGAGACTCTGACTCAAAAAAAAAAAAAAAGAACCTTAGACATCCCATGTGGTTTTTGAATGTATGCTAATATTATTCCTAAAATATAACTTGAAGAAAATTAGACATCATTTTGGCAATTCCATGTACCTAAAGATGTCAAATAATGTTCTTTAACTCTCTTCTGGATATTCCAGCGGCCCCTGTAGTACCCAAAAGCTAGGGGTCAGGAAACCTTGTGACTGAAGTTTGATTTTGGGAAGCCTGTTAAATATGTCAGAGGTTCAAAACACTTGATATTATGAAATAGAATTTTAGATTATCATAAGTCATTTGTTTTGCCAAAATGATGAGTCAAAATATGAAAAAGCAAAAAACATTCATTCGCTTGTACTAGTACATGAAAATCCTGTTCAAGAGAGAAAGTTAAATTTTACCCTTGCATTAGTCTATTATTAATGTTAACCCCAATTTTTGATGAAACCTTATAGATGATTCTATTTGACCTTAACCAGTTTGACCATGAGGTGACATTTTCACAAACTTTTTATACCTCTTTAAAATTTTGCTAAAGAGCAGATTAGTGTCTTAAGAAAACCTTTTTGTACTTTTACTTCAATGCTCAATTTACAGAAAAATCATCTGTAATTTCCAATTTAGTCAGTATGTTCACACATAGAGTTTCCTTTGCAAGATTAATTTTTTCAATTTTCCCCAGTTTGCTTAAATCTTCAGCTTTATTTTACCTAATTTAAGACAGTTATTTATCCCCAAAATGCACACTTCCATGCCTTCTTAAAATCTTTTACTAAAACACATTTGACTGTTTTTACACACCTTGCATGTAAATCTATTTCAGTAGTTTCAATTACATGTCATAACAGTAATTCTTAGCAATTTTTAACTTGAATGTGAAACCTGGCAAATTGTTTTAATTATGTGCTTGGTGTAGATAAAGTTTGACTCCTTCCAAACATATGGGGCGTATGTTCCATATCTTCCCAGAGCTAACCAATTGTGAAGCAGGCAAGTTGACAGTTTTTAAAGGCCACAGAAACAGTTCACAACCTTAAGACATTTAGCAAACTTAGTATTTGACCTATATAGTTTAGACCACATCTTTATACCTTTAAGACATTTGTATTTTACCAATAATCCCTAAGACTGTTCTTATTTTTAAAGATTAAAGTCATGCAAAATAAGAGTCATTACGGCTCTTACTTTTCCTTTAAAAATATTTTATCCAGGCCTGCGCAGTGGCTCGGCCTCCCAGCACTTTGGGAGGCCAAGGTGGGTGGATCACAAGGTCAAGAGATCGAGACCATCCTTGTCAACAAGGTGAAACCCCGTCTCTACTAAAAATACAAAAATTAGCTGGGCATGTTGGTACGTGCCTGTAGTCCCAGCTACTCAGGAGGCTGAGGCAGGAGAATTGCTTGAACCCAGGAGGCAGAGGTTGCCATGAGCCGAGATTGTGCCATTGCACTGCAGTCTGGGTAACAACAGCGAAACTCCATCTCAAAAAATATATATATCTATTTTATCCAAGTGCTTATCCTTTTTTAAGATAATTAGAGCTCTTTTTTAAATTAATTTTAAAAGGTATACACATTACATATATGACCACACAGACAAACAGAAGATCCAGCAGCTCAGGGTGGAGCCCTTTAAGAATAGGGCCAGGAAAGCATGTCGTTTCTAGAACCTAATAAACAGGCATGTCTGGAAGACAGAAACAGATTTTGAGAGGGATTTATTTGCCTTTAATTCCATGGGTTCCATGATGAAAACAGAGATGTATCTCCAAATGGGATCTGTGGTGTCTTTTCTGTTTTTCCAAGGAGTTCCATGCCACCAGAACTCATCTTAGGGCCTTTCATGCATCCGCCGAGTGGCAAAATGGAGTAGACAAACGTAATTCAGTCAACTGACAAAAAAACTTTTCCACAAAAACAAGATCTAAGAGGTGGGGAAAAAGGGCCTTTTAATATACTTATAACTTGAATATCCACTTTTAATTAAGCTGATTAATTTTCATTAATTAAAACTTTACAGAGAACATAAACAGTGATCCTTATTATTATACCTTTTACCAGTTTGCACCACTACCTGTTCACAATCATGTTCAGGTTCTCCAGTTTCTCCTGGGAGAAAGTGGCTGGGTTCAGGCAAGGGAAGGTTCTTAACTGGACTGTAGATCCCTCTGGCAGCAAAGTTTGCTATTTGAGGGGGCGATTGTCTGTTAGCCAAAGATTCCCTTAAAGGACAGCAGCTCTGCTATACTGCATGGGATGCAAACAGTTAAATTATTCCCCATGGTTAACCTGGTGGCCTCCAGCATCAGCAAAGCTACCACTGCAACTGCTTGAAGGCAAGCTGGTCATCCTTTAGCCAACAAGTTAAGTTCTTCACTTAAGTAGCCCACTGGCTGTTGAGCTGAATCTTGAGCCTTAGTTAAAACTCCCAGGGACATTTCCTTCCTTTCTAATACATAGAGGCTGAATGCTGTTCCTATGGGAATATTGAGGGCTGGTGCTTTAAGCAAGGTTTGTGGCAGAAAGCAAGGCTGGTTAAAGGCTTTTGAGTTTTGGGTTTCCAAGATAGGGAGCAAGTTTCAGCTGCTTGTGTTTCTTTTGTGGGGTGGCATAAAGGGTGAGCTATTTCACTGTACCCAGGTACCTACAGTCTGCAAAATTCTGCAGTGCCTAATAATCTCCTCAACTGTTAAAGAAAATGGGCTTAATCCTTTCCTCACCTGGTGCTCTGGTCCCTCTTGATAAGACTAGGCCTACCTACTTTACTGAAGTCTGACAGAACTGAGCCTTAGATTTTGAAAAGCTATATCCCCTTGATAGCTAAGAAATTGAGGATAGCCTCAGTGCCTTCCTGAGACTTCTTCAGTTGAGACGCAGAGGACAGTGTCATTTACATACCGCAAAGTTTCAACTTGTGGTGAGAAAAAATTAGAAAGATCTTGGACAGGGCCTGTTTCAGCAAATTCCTTTCAATATCAGTAGCTGCCTGAGTAATAAACCTGTTCTTTATTGAATAAAAAGGTTGAGACCAGGCACAGTGGCTCATGTCTGTAATCCCAACCCTTTGGGAGACTGAGGCAGGTGGATCACTTGAGGTCAGGAGTTCAAGACCATCCTGGCAAACATGGTAAAACCCCATCTCTACTAAAAATACAAAAATTAGCCAGGTATGATGTCAAGTGCCTGTAATCTCAGCTACTTGGAAGGCTGAGGCAGGATAATGACTTGAACCCAGGAGGCAGAGGCGGCAGTGAGCCAAGATCACACCACTGCACTCCAGCCTGGACAACAGCAGAAGACTCCACCTCAAAAAGAAAAAAAGGTTGAGGGATTTTCATCTAGTTTTTGATCTGTCATGGAAAGCTTGGAGTAGGTTAATAGGTTTGGCTCTAGTCCTTTTCAAGCCCTCCAATATACACATTTGAAAGAGTTTCCTTCTCCATTTTCTGATGCCATCATCCTGGTCTCATAAGCGTCCACCAAGGGCACTGCTACTTTCCTCATTTGATTCCACTTCTATGGTACATTCTTCCAGGACAGTTTAAATACTCGAGTTAAATCCTGGAAAACCTCTGTGAGTGAAGTTGAGGCTTGCCCAGAGAGAACTTCAGGGTCTGAGGGTTAAAGGAGATCCACGTTGCACTCGAGGGGAGTGCAGGCTTGAAGATTACCCATCTAGAAAAGAGACAAGGGAAGAGGTGTCCCTCAGTCTCCTTCTTCTTTTTGGAGTGACCCAGGGTGGAAGGTAAGGCCAAAAGGGCATCCCCCTTCACCCATTTTCTCCCATATCTGGGTCCCAGTGACCATCATAGGCACTGCCCCGTGGATGCAAGCATGACCTTCATCCACGGATGTGAAGGACCTAGTCAGCAGAATTAGTCATGCTCACCTGCAGGAAGTCCCAGCCCTTTGCTCTGCTGGTTTCCTAGACTACTTGGCCCATAAGCCTCCCAGGGTACCCTAGGGGTCCAGGAGAGGTGGTATTTGGGTGAGACCCTTTAAAGGGGGAAGTGTTTCAAAATTATTCCTGGCTTCCCTTGCAATGCTCCTAGCAAAACATTGAAATCCCAGAGAATGGGAACAATTTACTTCCAAACATAGAATCCCTTTTTTGTTTAAATGCCAACAGAGTTGGATGTAGAACAGGTGTCTCAAAAGAACATATGGACTGAATAGCTGTCCTCTCAACTCTTAAAGGTGGAGTTTTGCTGTTTATAGATGGGGCATGGAGCCTGGTCCCTAATAGAGGGATGTAGGCAGGAGAGAAATTGGGGAACTAGAGACTTTGGACAAAGGGCGGACAAAGGGCCAACAGGACCCACAGAGGAAAAAAAAAATTGCCATCCCAATAGGTAGCACTGTAGGATCTGAAATATTATGTATGGCCTCTGACTCCAAATTCTTCACAGGCAGAAGTTAGAAAGAGAGGTTTGGGGCTTAATAGGCTGTCCCCATAGTATGCCTTCCAGCAGAAGAAAATTAACTTGTCTCATAAAGGAACTGTTTAAATTCATTGGGCAGTGCTGAGCTTTTACATGGAGAGAAGAAACAACCCAAATGGAGAGGGAAGATATTCACTTGGTGTATTAATCTGTTCTCATGCTGCTAATAAAGACATACTTGAGATTGAGTAATTTATAAAGGAAAGAGAGTTAATGAACTCACAGTTCAGCATAGCTGGGAAGGCCTCATAATTATGGTGGAAAAGAGAGCATATGCAGGGGAATGCCCCTTTATAAAACCATCAGATCTCATGAGACTTATTCACTATCATGGGAACAGCATGGGGAAAACCCCACCCTCTTGATTCAATTACCTCCCACTGGGTCCCTTCCACAACACGTGGGAATTATGGGAGCAACAGTTCAAGATGAGATTTGGGTGGGAACAGAGCCAAACCATATCATTCTTCCCCTGACCCCTTCCAAGTATAATGTCCTCACATTTCAAAACCAATCATGCCTTCTCAACAGTCCCCCAAAGTCTTTACTCATTTCAGCATTAACTTGAAAGTCCACAGTCCAAAGTCTCATCTGAGACAAGGCAAGTTCCTTCCACCTATGAGTCTGTAAATTAAAGAAAGTTAGTTACTTCCTAAATACAACAGGGGTACAGGCATTGGGTAAATACATTCATTCCAAATGGGAGAAATTGGTCAAAACGAAGGGGCTACAGGCCCCATGCAAGTCCAAAACCCAGCAAGGTAGTCAAATCTTCAAGCTACAAAATGATCTCCTTTGGCTCCATGTTTCACATCCAGGGTGTGCTGACACGAGAGGTGGGCTCTCAGGCCCTTGGGCAGCTCCACCACTGTGGCTTTGCAGGATACAGCTTCCCTCTTGGTTGCTTTAATGGGCTGTGATAAACATATGAATTTATTTCTATATTTGCTTTTGAAATTAGTGTACTGTTTAATACACACACACCAAGGATTGATTGAGATTGTGTTGAATCTATAGATCAATTGGAAAAGGATTAACATTATTACTATAGTGAGTCTTTCAAGATCTGAACATAATATATACCTTCTTTACATAGGTCTTCCTTAAGTTCTCTCAATAATTTTTTGCTGATTTTAGTGTAGATGTCTTACACATCTTTTGTTAGATTTACTTTATTAATAATTATTGCCTGGGGCCTGGCGCGGTGGCTCAAGCCTGTAATCCCAGCACTTTGGGAGGCCGAGGCGGGTGGATCACGAGGTCAACAGATCGAGACCATCCGGGTCAACATGGTGAAACCCCGTCTCTACTAAATATACAAAAAATTAGCTGGGCATGGTGGCGCGTGCCTGTAATCCCAGCTACTGGGGAGGCTGAGGCAGGAGAATTTCCTGAACCCAGGGGGCGGAGGTTGCGGTGAGCCGAGATCGCGCCATTGCACTCCAGCCTGGGTAACAAGAGCGAAACTCCGTCTCAAAAAAAATAATAATAATAATAGTTATTGCCTGTGTGAATCATTTTATTAGGAACTGCCAAATGGTGATTTTCTAATTCTACCATTTATTATGCATTCATTAGCTAGAATTATCCTATAAATAAAAGCTCTCCCTCGTTCTCTAAGACTATTTCATTTTCCTGATATACAGTTCATACAAAAAAGGCAAGATAAATGCTTAATTCTTTCCTTTTAGTTACCTTTTTCCTTTTTTTTTGCAGACATCAACCATGACGAGATTAATTACTAATTTTTAAACAAATAATTTGGTGCCCCAGCAATCTCCAAAACTGACTAGTTTTATTTAGCTTTCTCTTTTGAACTATAAATTAATGATTTTAAACATTCAATATGTTTTTATAAATTGTTGGCAGTATGTTGGGTTTTCAAATTGTCCCATAAGGACAGAATGTCCCTTCAAGCTAGCTTCTGTTTTCTCTTGACAAACTCCTTTTTTTCCCCAAGTTAGAGCCCAAGAAAATGGCTTGTATGTAGGTAGTGCATTTAGGAAGGTGATTCCACAGAGCAGGAGTGGATGCCATGGGAAATGCCAGGAAGCAGGGATGCGTTGGCCACTGGGAGACTTTTTCTTTTTTTCTGACTAGTACTTTTTGAGGAGCATTTTAAAACATGTCTCAGATTTATCCACCTAATGGCACAGAGGTGAAGCATTTATACACTGGCTACTACTCCTCACTGATCAAGAGTAGCTTCCTGGGTATTTATTCTACCCAAATTCCCAGTTGCACATGCATGCCCATTAGGTGGGTTCCTACCAAGTTTCTACACCTCGCAAAGAGTCAGATATGCCCCAGGGTGGAAAACAGGGTGGAAATCAATAGTAGCACAATCAGACAGGAAGCATTATCTGTTTATCCCTGTACAAACCTGTCAAAGCTTGCAAGAACAATTGACCGCAACTGTGACCGAAATAAGAGGTGAGGCTGGGAGGACATTGAAGTGTTGCACAAGAAGTGTCCAGTGCTGTTCACTCTGAGACATTCATGTATCTAATTAGTCTAGTCCATCACAGAAATTCCTCAAACAGT